GCGCGGGCAGGGCGTGCGCGTGGCATGGTGCCGCCGCATCACGCTCTGCAGGATGCACACTGCACAGTGCACACTGCTCACAGCACACTGCACACTGCACACTGCACACTGCACACTGCTCACAGCACACTGCACACTGCACACTGCATGCCGTACCTTGTTGAGCGCCATGTGGCGGTGCGGCAGCGGCACGGGGCAGGCGTGTCCGCAGCGCGGGCAGGGCGTGCGCGCGGCGCGGTGCCACCGCATCACGATCTGCAGGATGCACACTGCACACTGCACACTGCACACTGCATGCCGTACCTTGTTGAGCGCCATGTGGCGGTGCGGCAGCGGCACGGGGCAGGCGTGTCCGCAGCGCGGGCAGAGCGTGCGCGCGGCGCGGTGCCGCCGCATCACGCTCTGCAGGATGCACACTGCACACTGCACACTGCACACTGCATGCCGTACCTTGTTGAGCGCCATGTGGCGGTGCGGCAGCGGCACGGGGCAGGCGTGTCCGCAGCGCGGGCAGGGCGTGCGCGCGGCATGGTGCCGCCGCATCACGCTCTGCAGGATGCACACTGCACACTGCACACTGCTCACAGCACACTGCACACTGCACACTGCATGCCGTACCTTGTTGAGCGCCATGTGGCGGTGCGGCAGCGGCACGGGGCAGGCGTGTCCGCAGCGCGGGCAGGGCGTGCGCGCGGCGCGGTGCCGCCGCATCACGCTCTGCAGGATGCACACTGCACACTGCACACTGCACACAGCACACTGCACACTGCACACTGCATGCCGTACCTTGTTGAGCGCCATGTGGCGGTGCGGCAGCGGCACGGGGCAGGCGTGTCCGCAGCGCGGGCAGGGCGTGCGCGCGGCGCGGTGCCGCCGCATCACGCTCTGCAGGATGCACACTGCACACTGCATACTGCACACAGCACACTGCACACTGCACACTGCATGCCGTACCTTGTTGAGCGCCATGTGGCGGTGCGGCAGCGGCACGGGGCAGGCGTGTCCGCAGCGCGGGCAGAGCGTGCGCGCGGCGCGGTGCCGCCGCATCACGCTCTGCAGAATGCACACTGCACACTGCACACTGCACACTGCACACTGCACACTGCACACTGCACACTGCATGCCGTACCTTGTTGAGCGCCATGTGGCGGTGCGGCAGCGGCACGGGGCAGGCGTGTCCGCAGCGCGGGCAGGGCGTGCGCGTGGCATGGTGCCGCCGCATCACGCTCTGCAGGATGTACACTGCACACTGCACACTGCTCACAGCACACTGCACACTGCACACTGCACACTGCACACTGCTCACAGCACACTGCACACTGCACACTGCATGCCGTACCTTGTTGAGCGCCATGTGGCGGTGCGGCAGCGGCACGGGGCAGGCGTGTCCGCAGCGCGGGCAGGGCGTGCGCGCGGCGCGGTGCCGCCGCATCACGCTCTGCAGGATGCACACTTTACACTGCACACTGCACACAGCACACTGCACACTGCACACTGCATGCCGTACCTTGTTGAGCGCCATGTGGCGGTGCGGCAGCGGCACGGGGCAGGCGTGTCCGCAGCGCGGTCAGGGCGTGCGCGCGGCGCGGTGTCGCCGCATCACGCTCTGCAGGATGCACACTGCACACTGCACACTGCACACAGCACACTGCACACTGCACACTGCATGCCGTACCTTGTTGAGCGCCATGTGGCGGTGCGGCAGCGGCACGGTGCAGGCGTGTCCGCAGCGCGGGCAGGGCGTGCGCGCGGCATGGTGCCGCCGCATCACGCTCTGCAGGATGCACACTGCACACTGCACACTGCACACAGCACACTGCACACTGCACACTGCATGCCGTACCTTGTTGAGCGCCATGTGGCGGTGCGGCAGCGGCACGGGGCAGGCGTGTCCGCAGCGCGGGCAGGGCGTGCGCGCGGCATGGTGCCGCCGCATCACGCTCTGCAGGATGCACACTGCACACTGCACACTGCACACTGCATGCCGTACCTTGTTGAGCGCCATGTGGCGGTGCGGCAGCGGCACGGGGCAGGCGTGTCCGCAGCGCGGGCAGGGCGTGCGCGCGGCGCGGTGCCGCCGCATCACGCTCTGCAGGATGCACACTGCACACTGCACACTGCACACAGCACACTGCACACTGCACACTGCATGCCGTACCTTGTTGAGCGCCATGTGGCGGTGCGGCAGCGGCACGGGGCAGGCGTGTCCGCAGCGCGGGCAGGGCGTGCGCGCGGCGCGGTGCCGCCGCATCACGCTCTGCAGGATGCACACTGCACAATGCACACTGCACACTGCACACAGCACACTGCACACTGCACACTGCATGCCGTACCTTGTTGAGCGCCATGTGGCGGTGCGGCAGCGGCACGGGGCAGGCGTGTCCGCAGCGCGGGCAGGGCGTGCGCGCGGCGCGGTGCCGCCGCATCACGCTCTGCAGGATGCACACTGCACACTGCACACTGCACACAGCACACTGCACACTGCACACTGCATGCCGTACCTTGTTGAGCGCCATGTGGCGACGCGGCAGCGGCACGGGGCAGGCGTGTCCGCAGCGCGGGCAGGGCGTGCGCGCGGCGCGGTGCCGCCGCATCACGCTCTGCAGGATGCACACTGCACACTGCACACTGCACACAGCACACTGCACACTGCACACTGCATGCCGTACCTTGTTGAGCGCCATGTGGCGGTGCGGCAGCGGCACGGGGCAGGCGTGTCCGCAGCGCGGGCAGGGCGTGCGCGTGGCGCGGTGCCGCCGCATCACGCTCTGCAGGATGCACACTGCACACTGCACACTGCACACAGCACACTGCACACTGCACACTGCATGCCGTACCTTGTTGAGCGCCATGTGGCGGTGCGGCAGCGGCACGGGGCAGGCGTGTCCGCAGCGCGGGCAGAGCGTGCGCGCGGCGCGGTGCCGCCGCATCACGCTCTGCAGGATGCACACTGCACACTGCACACTGCACACAGCACACTGCACACTGCACACTGCATGCCGTACCTTGTTGAGCGCCATGTGGCGGTGCGGCAGCGGCACGGGGCAAGCGTGTCCGCAGCGCGGGCAGGGCGTGCGCGCGGCATGGTGCCGCCGCATCACGCTCTGCAGGATGCACACTGCACACTGCACACTGCACACTGCACACTGCACACAGCACACTGCACACTGCACACTGCATGCCGTACCTTGTTGAGCGCCATGTGGCGGTGCGGCAGCGGCACGGGGCAGGCGTGTCCGCAGCGCGGGCAGGGCGTGCGCGCGGCGCGGTGCCGCCGCATCACGCTCTGCAGGATGCACACTGCACACTGCACACTGCACACAGCACACTGCACACTGCACACTGCATGCCGTACCTTGTTGATCGCCATGTGGCGGTGCGGCAGCGGCACGGGGCAGGCGTGTCCGCAGCGCGGGCAGAGCGTGCGCGCGGCGCGGTGCCGCCGCATCACGCTCTGCAGGATGCACACTGCACACTGCACACAGCACACTGCACACTGCACACAGCACACTGCACACTGCACACTGCATGCCGTACCTTGTTGAGCGCCATGTGGCGGTGCGGCAGCGGCACGGGGCAGGCGTGTCCGCAGCGCGGGCAGGGCGTGCGCGCGGCGCGGTGCCGCCGCATCACGCTCTGCAGGATGCACACTGCACACTGCACACTGCACACAGCACACTGCACACTGCACACTGCATGCCGTACCTTGTTGAGCGCCATGTGGCGGTGCGGCAGCGGCACGGGGCAGGCGTGTCCGCAGCGCGGGCAGAGCGTGCGCGCGGCGCGGTGCCGCCGCATCACGCTCTGCAGGATGCACACTGCACACTGCACACTGCACACAGCACACTGCACACTGCACACTGCATGCCGTACCTTGTTGAGCGCCATGTGGCGGTGCGGCAGCGGCACGGGGCAGGCGTGTCCGCAGCGCGGGCAGGGCGTGCGCGCGGCGCGGTGCCGCCGCATCACGCTCTGCAGGATGCACACTGCACACTGCACACTGCACACTGCACACTGCATGCCGTACCTTGTTGAGCGCCATGTGGCGGTGCGGCAGCGGCACGGGGCAGGCGTGTCCGCAGCGCGGGCAGGGCGTGCGCGCGGCGCGGTGCCGCCGCATCACGCTCTGCAGGATGCACACTGCACACTGCACACTGCACACTGCACACTGCACACTGCATGCCGTACCTTGTTGAGCGCCACGTGGCGGTGCGGCAGCCGCACGGGGCAGGCGTGTCCGCAGCGTGGGCAGGGCGTGCGCGCGGCGCGGTGCCGCCGCATCACGCTCTGCAGGATGCACACTGCACACTGCACACTGCACACTGCACACTGCACACTGCATGCCGTACCTTGTTGAGCGCCATGTGGCGGTGCGGCAGCGGCACGGGGCAGGCGTGTCCGCAGCGCGGGCAGGGCGTGCGCGCGGCGCGGTGCCGCCGCATCACGCTCTGCAGGATGCACACTGCACACTGCACACTGCACACAGCACACTGCACACTGCACACTGCATGCCGTACCTTGTTGAGCGCCATGTGGCGGTGCGGCAGCGGCACGGGGCAGGCGTGTCCGCAGCGCGGGCAGAGCGTGCGCGCGGCGCGGTGCCGCCGCATCACGCTCTGCAGGATGCACACTGCACACTGCACACTGCACACAGCACACTGCACACTGCACACTGCATGCCGTACCTTGTTGAGCGCCATGTGGCGGTGCGGCAGCGGCACGGGGCAGGCGTGTCCGCAGCGCGGGCAGGGCGTGCGCGCGGCGCGGTGCCGCCGCATCACGCTCTGCAGGATGCACACTGCACACTGCACACTGCACACTGCACACTGCATGCCGTACCTTGTTGAGCGCCATGTGGCGGTGCGGCAGCGGCACGGGGCAGGCGTGTCCGCAGCGCGGGCAGGGCGTGCGCGCGGCGCGGTGCCGCCGCATCACGCTCTGCAGGATGCACACTGCACACTGCACACTGCACACTGCACACTGCACACTGCATGCCGTACCTTGTTGAGCGCCATGTGGCGGTGCGGCAGCGGCACGGGGCAGGCATGTCCGCAGCGCGGGCAGGGCGTGCGCGCGGCGCGGTGCCGCCGCATCACGCTCTGCAGGATGGACGCGAACGGCGTCACGCCGATCCCGGCCGCGATCAGCACCGCGTGATGCGCGCGGAAGATATGAGACGATGCTGCGCCGTACGGACCATCTAGGTATATCTGCAACAAATACTTTATTACTTTACACAAAAACGAGATATGCAGGTAAAACCTTTATATATCGCGCATGTGAATCTTATAATAGTATTTTCAGTGATGTTGATCCATTTCAGTGCACAATACAAGCCTTTAAAAAATACAGGGTTATTTTGCAAGGTTTTGTAAGTAAGAATATCTTTTTTTTTCTTTTATATTCAAAATGCGTAGTAATGCATTACTTGAACTGATTGTCATTCATAAATATCTAACGCCTACTGTACACGCTCCTAGCTACCCTACAAAGGTCAAATATACCGGGGCCCATCAGCGGAAGATTCGACGGGCAGCCGAGGGTTCGGGCCCAAAAGGCCTATGGACAATTGACCTACACGATAGTGATAAAGCTAGGTAAATAAATAGTACGTACCTGGATCCGAAGCTAAGACCGCACCAAGGCTCGGTCAGGCCGTAGGTAGGTGTAGGTGCACGTCAAGTGGTGTTTAGTAGTGTTTATTTATGTGACCTGGCCCTGAGGTGACCGGGCAGCGGCCTGGTCCCATGCTGCCCTACAATGCTGTATCACTCCAGCAGGCGTCACCAAGTGACAACTTCTTTTTTCATATCACTAATTCAGTCTATCAACTTTATTGTACATTTAACTAACTTCAACTCAACTAATTCAACGTTCATCGTAAAATCAAATACGTGATACCCGATACAAGTAACGAACAGTAGTTCAAAGTTCAATATTCAAGGTTCCGGATTCATTTATCACCAAATTACAAATAGGGAACTAACGCGATCTCTTCACGAGTCACAAAGTTCAGCGTTACAACCAACAACTAAATTCCTTCGTACTATATTAAATACTACGCCGCAATAAGAATTCAAAATCAACCTAGCTGACACGCAAAGTAACTAAAGAATCAACACACAAAAGGCTCTTAACGCGACGGTACAATTGCAACGAAATTACTCTAATCACTCAAATTCAAAATAAGCCTCTTGTCACGAACGTACAACTTTAGACAAACTAAACCGAGGCGGTCTTCACTAAACCATAATTCAGTAGCGAAGTAACGCGCACAAATACTAAAAATCTAGACCATAAACCGAAAAAACTGGTCGCGCGAAATATATGCAGCGGTAACCAAAATACGCTAATTGACCGCACCGCTGCTGTCAAGCTACTGTTTCTCGCCTACGAGCGCCAAACGCTGGGAATCTGCATACCGCTGCCCCTTCCCCACGACGCGCGTGACACCTAACACCATCGGGCGATTCGCTAAGTTGAAGGCGATTGGATGCCGTCTCAAATGACCATTTTCGGGCCTAAACAGCTACTATTTTACTACGCACACATTCGTCGATCATCACACACGTCAAGGTCAATCGATCGGCATAAACGTTGTGAATTGAATCGCACACAGAGGAGCGCGCTTACCCGTAGTTGTTGCCCATAAATCACATTCAATTTGGGATAGTTTCAAATAAAAATAGAAGCCTTATTTGCTCGTAATTTCAAAAGCGGCAATAATGGTATTTCATTATTTATATCGGGTGTTAGTAAAACGTTTCCGAAAACGAAGACAGACGATAGTACTACCGATACCTTTGATGATGGGTAAGAAAGAAATTCGATCCCGAGGAAAAAAATATATTTTCATAACGTATTATTAACTTCATTCACGCTCCATCATGTTAGTATAGCTAAATGAAACGATAATTTCATAAAATAATCATGAAAATACTTAAACATAATAGCAGTAGTGAAACTAAAAATAAAATCAGCTGACAATAGGGTCAATATTCTCGCGGACGCCGAATTCTTATCTAGCTTGGTGCGAAACAATGCCTACTCACTCTACCCTTCCCATTCACACACGCGCTACCACCGCCCGGCCGGCTCGTGTCACCTCGCGCTGTAGAATTTACACATGTCAGCTTTGCCAACATGTGGGGAAATCTCGAAATTGCGGGGATTTTAAAGTTGGTTGGGGATTTTATGGGGATTTATATTGTGCAGGAAAAATTTTGAAAATCGATAGCCTTTTTTCAAGAAATCTAAATACTTATCTTAACATTTTGTTAGGTTACTTATGAATATCGAATGACTCCCTTTATTAATTATCTTCATTGCACGTCATTTAGTTTTAGAAATAGTATTTAGGCATTTTTTGTGTATCATTAAATACTTTTCATTTCTTTATTTTTTAAATTTAAAGAAAAAAATGTTCGTTAAAAAATAAGTCTAAAAGAATTAGTTGAAAATTGTTTCATTTCTTAATATAAAAGTGAGGGGAATTTGTGGGAAATCTGTTGCAGTTTTCTCCTAAAATTGAGGACTTTGACATGAATTTTCGGGAAATTTGATAAATTGGTGTTGGCAATGCTGTCATGTTGCATCGAAATTCACCTACTAAGATTTGTTTGCCAGCAACATAAGAAATAGAGGCAGCAATCACTATAAAACTTGCAAGTAATTTTTAATAATTTTGACATACCCCTTTTTAAATTTAAAGTATTGGTCGAATTAAATACGGAAAGTCAATTAAAATAAAGTAACAGTATTATTTTTTTCATTAATTCTGATAGATTAATTAACTGTCAATCATAATTGCAATTGATTTTAACTATTAAATTATTCAGTACCATTTCATTTCTATTTTCTTATACAAAATCAAAGATAACGACGAAATAGTGTTTATAATTGTGTAAGTGAGTACTGAGTACCCAATTAGGTACGTTTATTAATTACAATATAATTTTTTTTTAGTAAAAAACTGCTTGTTGCATCAGGGTAAATTAATTGTGTAATTGTATTAAAAATAAAACCATAACTTCTAAATTCCATATGAAGACTAATCGTAGGGATAACTAAACTTATAAATAAAATAAACGTTGGCAATGTCGTAACGGTTTAACAGTCTGTGGAAATGATCAGTGCTTCAAGGTCGTTACGACGCACAAGGCATTTGTTTTGGCGGGATTGATTAATTTTTTTTCCTCAGAATCGAATTTCTTTCTGACCCATTATCAAAATTATCGGTAGTACTATCGTCTGTCTTCGTTTCGGGAGCATTTAACTAATATCCGGTATAATATAAGCTTAAAAGGCTACTCTTTGAAAAATAACCCTGTACATTATAAAAACAATTTCCTGATATGAAATTATAATTTTGATATATGTAATTTCTAATCTTAATGTTTTAGGTTCATACATGAACTATTTGAGAAATCAAAGAGTTCATGTATACAGCTCCTTTTTATATTTTAAATGTGGCCACTTTATTCGTGTATGTACTTGAATTTAAATTATTAAATAACAATGTAATATTTTCACTGTTTGTATCAAAATATTAAATAAATAAATATAATTTACATATATACAATTATTCTAGACCCGGAACAATTATTTCCAACTCATTTAAATGGTAAAGAATTCGACCCCTCAGCCAAATGTTGAGCAACCACTAGCAGGCTATTCATAGAAAATTATGTATCTGATAGTATTTCTAATAAGTTTGATTTAATGGCAGCATTCTCTTTCCATTCAAATTATTTTAAATATATCTCACCTCTAATGGTTTGCCAATAGGATAGTCGTCCATATTGTCATCGTTACTGCACTCCGATGCGCCGATATTTGCGTTTGCTGTCTCATTTTTTGCTTCCGTATCCTTATCAGGCGATAGACTCTTGGAAAGACGTCTTCTTGCTGTGCAAATAATTAGAATTTGAAGCACGTAAAGAGAAAAAATTGTATTGTTAAAGGTTGTAAGGTTCCGGTAAATACAGACTGTACTGACAGACGGTAAATACTGACCGGCTTTTGTTAAGTGTTTTAAAAAAGTTAATTTTGTTCTAATGCCAAAATTAAAAAAGCCGCTGTTGTCAAATAAATTTAATTTACAACAGCATGTATAACATCAAAACGTCACAACATTCTTGATTAACGTGGTATGGCCATACTGACCTTCACCTATTGAAAAGTTATTATCTACAGTGTGAAAATTCATAAAACAAAATAAATTTTATGTGGCTAAACTTCTAAATGTATTGATGGATTTTTTGTTTAAACAAGTGGTAAAATTAAAAATCTTGTACAACCGACTTCAAGATAAATAAAACGAGAACATCGTCATTGTAGTCGAAGTCTATTAAATACGCATTATTAACGATAACTCAAAAATTACTGGTCAAATCGTGATAGTATATAGTATTATTTCTTATATGGAACCTGGCGCTACTCTTTATAGCTATGTATTTACGTTGTTGCAATATAGTGGTAACGTAAAAGAATTCATTACACCAAAGCGTCTTGTCGGTGTCGTAGGAGGCTATGGGGAAATTGAGAAAAGTATTTTGCTTTCGACACGATTATTTTTATTATGGGGATATTTTTTTATTTAACTTTGTTCCATAGTTTTTAAAACATAACAACTAATGTAGTGTTTTCATATATGTAGTATACAGTAAATATTGTTATTTGTTTTATTTACTAATAATTTACCATGCACAAATACAAAAACATATATATATATATATATATATATATATATATATATATATATATATATATATATATAAGTCACTGTCTCGAACGCACCGCGTCAGTTACACGAGAGCCTCGGGCGGGATTGGACGTGTTTAGTTAAGTGAGTGTCGAGCCTGTGTTACACTACAAGGATTAGAGAAGATAGCAGACATTACAAGTGGCAACGAGGAAAAAGATAAGTACCTATTGAGTATAAAGATATAATCAAAAATAGGTTAGCAATGTGCAACTATTAGCATTGCAATTGTAAATTAATTCCTAGAGTACCCGCGGAAACAAAACTGTGGATTATTTATTTATGATTTATTGTTTTTAACCCTGTTCTGATCATTTTAATAATCTATATAAATTATATGTTCGCATATGACCACGCTTATGGTGTGCAAAAATTTATTTTCTTTATGTAGCAATGATAAAATAATGATTTATTTTAACATATGTCTATTAGCACAACTTTTATTTAAAAAGATTTTTGATGGAAAAATTGTAGATGTTACTAAAAACTCCTCTCGATTCGAACCGAAATACAGTGCCGTTAGCTAAATTTTAGTGGCATTTTGCATGTAGGTGTGATATTTATCGCCTTTAATGAAAATACTATTTTACTGCTTTCATGGCATATATAAGTCTTACAAAAAATCGTGAACACTTTACGACTTCTGTACATTGCATAGTAGGTAACTAGTAATACTGTAAATGCGCAATATAGGTATTGAATTTACCCAAAGCCTAAATGGCACACCAATGGAAGTAGTCGGTATAACAAATAAACCGAAAGAGAAGGGCGAGTGTTATGGAACATATTATTATCATGAAATTGAGTTTGGGTACCAAGATACCAACCATTAAATTGGTGTTGGGTACTAAGATACCATCATTAAATTGAGTTTGGGTACAAAGATACCATCATTAAATTGAGTTGGGTACTAAGATACCATCATAAAATTGAGTTTGGGTACTAAGATACCATCATTAAATAGAGTTAGGGTACTAAGATACCATCATTAAATTGAGTTAGGGTACTAAGATACCACCATTAAATTGGAGTTTGGGTACTAAGGTACCACCATAAAATTGGAGTTTGGGTACTAAGGTACCACCATTAAATTGTAGTTTGGGTACTAAGGTACCACTATTGAATTGGAGTTTGGGTACTAAGGTACCACCATTAAATTGGAGTTCGGGTACTAAGGTACTACCATTAAATTGGAGTTTGGGTATTAAGGTAGGTACCACCATTAAATTGGACTTTAGGTTCTAAGTTACTACCATTAAATTGAACTTTGGGTACTAAGTTACTACCATTAAATTGGACTTTGTGTACTAAGTTACTACCATTAAATTGGACTTTGGCTACTAAGTTACTACCATTAAATTGGACTTTGGGTACTAAGTTACTACCATTAAATTGGACTTTGGGTACTAAGTTACTACCATTAAATTGGACTTTGGGTATTAAAATACCAGCATTAAACTGGAAAAAATATAAGAAACTGTTTCAGTTTCCCCTAATATAATAATAATAATGATACCGTTATCAGCTTTAATGTGATAGCACATCTATGGCTATAAGATGTGAAAAATGGAAAAGATCTCTACTAATCTATCTGGACGCAGCTGAAGTTATATCAGCACTCAAGAAATGAGCTACGCTATTGCATTTTGGTGGCTCTGAGATACAAGAAATATTCTACAATTTACCGAGTGCCAATGTCGAATCATCAGAAACCGTTGATGTATTTAAAGTAGCCATAAAAAAAACTCTACGAGTATTTTCAACCTAAACGGAGCAAAGTTATTAGAGGTATGTTTTTCGATTGCTAAAACAGGAAAAAGGAGAAACGTTTGAGAAGTTTTTGATAAGATTGCGTCAACAGGCCGAAAAGTGTACATTCGAAAAGCAAGATGATCATTTCATAGATCAAATTGCGGAAAAGTGTAATTCGAAATTGCGCAAGAACCTTATATCTTACAAAACGCGGGAAGAGTTAAAAAGCAAAAAAAGTATATGTTTTTAATCAAATGTAAAGACCAGACAAGACATTATTAGCATATGGTAGTAACTCTCCTTTGGCAATAGAGGGTTCATTTGAAACTATACTTAAAGTCGATAGACGAAAGGAACATACAACCATTTACGTGATTTAGGGGGGTACTAGAGACCTGTTTAGTAAGAACACGGCAATCCGTCTGGGTATCTTAAAACTTGGTATCGGGATAAATCAAGTGGAGAGTAAAAGCAAGCCGATCCCCATTAAAGAGAAGGTTGCAATCAAAATTAAGGAATCACTAAACAGTGATATAATTGAAGAAGAGCAAGGCCCGTCTAAATGGGTTTCACCAATGTTCCAATCATGAAAGAAAATTGTCAATTACGTTTGTGCGTAGATATGAGATGTACGAACGCCGTTATATTGTGAGAAAACCACCCCCTGCCTACTATGGACCATTTTTGCCTAAAATGAAGAAAGCTAAATATTTTAACAAATTAGACATAAAAAAATGCCTTCCATCAAGTGGAAATTCACTCTGAATCCAGACACATAACGACTTTTATAAACCCCAAAAGATTATATAGATATAAAAGAATAATGCTTGGAATTACCTGCGCTTCCGAGATTTTTCAGAAGATCATTGAAAGGATGCTGATAAACTGTGAAGGGGTCGTCAATTTTATTGATGATATCCTGGCATTCGGGAACAGTGAAGAAGAACATGACGCATGACTAAAGAAAGTTCTACAGGTACTTAGTAAAAACAACGCCGTGCTGAATAGCAATAAATTCATATATAAAACGCAGGATGTGAATTTTCTGGGACACAGGCTTACACATGAAGGAGTAAACCCTTCAACAAGTACGTTGAGAGCATTATGAAATTTAGGGTCCCAAAGACCATAGAAGAACTCCAAAGTTTTTTAGGACTCTTAAACTACATAAACAAATGGATACCTAACTTGGCCCCCATGACAGAACTTCTGAAGCACCTGTTAAGACAGAAGATGAGCAGAAGGGTGAGCTTGGAAAAACAATGGTCTGTGGAACAAGATAAAGCATTCAAAAAACTCAAACGGATGCTCACGTAAATACAGATTTTAGGGTATTATGACGTCAGAGATGCAAGACAGGTGATAGCAGATGCTAGCCCTGTCGGACTTGGTGCTGTCCTTGTACAAAATGATACAAATGGCCCTAGAATTATTGCCTATGGTAATCGAACTTTGACAGACTGCGAGCGCAGGTATAGCCAAACGGAAAAAGAGGCACTAGCATTAGTTTGGGGGGTCGAACATTTTAATATTTTTATTTGGAAAGCCTTTTGATTTAGTCACTGACCACAAGCCGCTAGAGATATTGTTCGGGTCTAAGTCTAAACCATGTGCGAGGATTGAACGATGGGTACTGAGGCTACAGTCTTATTCATTCAAGGTTATATACAAGCCAGGAAAAACAAATATAGCTGATCCCTTGTCACGATTATGTAACTACCATGATAACCCACCAAAAGGAAAAGACCAGCATGTGTACCAAATAGTGGAAAATTCTAGACCAGTTGCTTTACCAATGAGTTCCATTGTAGCATATTCAGAAAAAGACCAACAGATTTACAAAGTGAAAAAAGGTGTCTATCAGAACGACTGGGACGATTCGATTAAGAGTTACAATTTTTTTTAAAAACGAGTTGTGTTTTCATGATAGCATTCTACTTCGTGGAAATAAAATTGTAATACCACAGCAACTCTGCAAGAGTGTATTAGATGCTGCATACGAGGGTCATCCAGGTATCGTAGCGATGAAGGGACGCTTGAGATCAAAGGTAGGGTGGCCCCGTATCGATAAAGACGTAGAACAATTAGTAAAGGCCTGTAAAGGTTGTACGTTAGTGGGTTTGCCAAACCCAACTGCACCAATGAAGAGACGAGTTGCCTGCAGCTCCATGGATAGATGTCACAATGGATCTAATGGGACCATTGCCAAGTAACGAGTATCTGTTAGTAGTGGTCGACTACTATAGTCGATACAAAGAAGTAAACAATTACAAAAGCATCACAAGCTTACAGATTATTAAAATGGTAAAAGAAATGTTCAGTAGACTTGGTTATCCTATTTCTATCACCGCAGACAATGGCAAGCAGTTAACATTAAGTTATTTAGTACTGTACCATATTGGCCTCAAATGATCGGCGAAGTTGAAAGACAAAACAGAGATATTTTGAAACGTCTTCGTATCAGCCAGATCGAGAGGAAGGATTTAAAAGAATGTTTGTCGGAGTATCTTCTAATGTATAACAGCACCCCTCCTTACAGTTACCGGGAGGTTACCGTCTGAACGGTTTTTTCAACGAAAAAGTAGGGATAAAATTCCATCAATAGGTGAAATAAATTACAGACAATCACTTAGATTCAGATATCAGGGATAGAGACAAAATACAAAAAGAAAAAGAGAAAGAGTATGTATATAGGAAACGCAGAGCAACTCACTCAGATATAATACAGGGAGATAAGGTTTACGTAAAAGCAGTGGAAAATAATTAATTCAGACAATACAAGCTGCTTTGTGAATGTTATGAGTTGTAATGAAAAAAAAAGAAAAAATCTTGATAAGAAAGAGATGTAGTGTTTGCATATATGTAGTATACAGTAAATATTGTTATTTGTTTTATTTACTAATAATTTACCATGCACAAATACACAAAAATACATTTATATGTAAGTCACTGTCTCGAGCGCACCGCGTCAGTTACACGAGAGCCTCGGGCGAGAGTGGACGTGTTTAGTTTAGTGACTGTCGAGCCTGTGTTACACTACAAGCGTACCGCGTCAGTTTTTTTTAAAACGTTACCCCCACACTAGGATTTTCTCCTGTATCGTGGAGGCAGTTTACAAACACAAATTGCACAAGGACAAACATCCAGACCCAGAACAATTATTTGTAGGCCATACAAATGCTTGTTCCGTGCGGGATTCGAACCCGCGCCCCCCAGAGCAGTAACTCATTGCTAAGCCACTGCGCCACGAAGCCGTCACACGAGAGCCTCGGGCGAGAGTGGACGTGTTTAGTTAAGTGAGTGCTGAGCCTGTGTTACACTACAAGGATTAGAGAAGGTAGCAGACATTACAACTAATAATAAAAAAAACCTTTTATTACACTAATTTCTAACACACGTATTACGAATTCGTGTTTTTTGTACGAGCAGCTATACAGGCCTAGAGAGCCCAGTATCACTGCAATCTAAAAGATCTATTGTGATCGCTGCTACGTCTACAGTTCACTGCTAAGCCCTACGTCCTCATTGAATAGGAGTTGCTTAGCTGTGAGTAATTTCATTTCTTCTGGGCGAAGTAAATAGTTTCCCAGATGAGTGCTGCGTTTACGCATTGAGGGTCCGCAATTTTTCAGGGTGTGTAAAGGCGTTTCCTCCTCTAGGGAGTAAAACCGCCACATCCTTGAGTTGTTTAGTTGCATTGGTGTGAATTCGGTGGTAAAATCGCAATTGCATACCAATAGTGAGTATACTGTCGTTGGAGCGCCTCCGCTCGCAGTCCTCGAAGCTGGGCGTCTTGAAGGCGATGATCGGTGGCTTGTTGCGCATGTAGCGGAAGCTGTGCGCCAGCGCCTTGTGGTGCGGCGAGCGAGCCGCCGCGCAGCGCGCCGCGCCGCCGGACAGCGCCAGCTCCGACTCCGAGCGCGTGTACTCGCGCAGCCTGCGAGGTGCGAGGTGGCACGGTTACGTGCAACAACAGGGTAAATAAAATTAAGATTATTAACAGAATAAGGAATTACTACCAATGCGAATAAGGAATGGGCTTAAAAATGGCGACTAATCGAGGCTGTACTGCCAGCGTACACGGTACCTGAAGCGAAAACAGCGCTAATAATATCGTTTTGTTACTAACATCGTTATGTTACTAATAACGAAATTTTAATAAACAAAAGGTTACGATAGTTTATTTAGAAGTTCTTAAAAATTCAATTATGTAAATTAATTATTAACTGAATGTAATAATAAGGAGGTAAATCAACTTGCAAATAATATATAATTTTAGTGATTTTATCATCCTTTTTTTTCTTTTCCTTCAAAATCATTGTAACTACATAAAACAATTCAATACTTAAAAGTATATTGAATAAAATTTGTTGTAATATTTTTTTATAGGATAAGGGTGACAAGCGCGCACACAGTCCACCTGATGGTGAGTGGTTTCTGTGGTCCATATACCTACATCTACATCTATCCTCAACTACGAATCAAAATGGAGATTCGTTGTCAGCCATGAGGACTATTAAAATGGAATGTCTGGTGAAATGGTTCTCTACACTCTCCATACGAAACACGACAGCATTAAGCTGCCATTTTACGCTGGTATTCTGTGAGAGCGTGGTCTTTCCCCGGTGGAGCCTACTAACTATACAATTAATACAGCTGCATCATGGCTCTACCACGTATAAAATCTTTAAAAAAGTTGGACCTGAAATTAAAAGTACAAATAACTCTTATCATAACGCATGATTTTTTTGGTGTCGTTACCGACAGGTGTGTGTGTGTGTATATAGACAGCGACAATGCGCAAGCGACAGATGAATAGAGGCGACGCCATTTATAATCCCATCCTTTATCTGTGTGAGTGTACTTTGCGGAAATCCATTATATTAAAAATGTTAAAAATTAATTAGCTAAGAGAGCTGAGCGGCTCACTAAGCGGTGTAATTTATTTATGTTAATGCCGCTACGATATAGGAGAAAATCCTAGTAACGTTTTTTGTAAAAAAAAAGTACTTGAAATTTTATATTCTCGAAAAAAAAATATGCGCTTGCATGATATGCTCAATTAAATTGTTCATCGAATGGATTTATAAAATACTTTTTATTAGTCGAGATAAGAAATTATGATTCAATGCAATCATTCAATAATGTAAATTAATTAAATTTAATCTCGTTTTTTAAGGAATAACCGTATAATCGTATTGCCAGTGATATCTTATGGATCTGACACATGGTCATTCACTGCTGGCCATATGGGAAAGCTCAAGGTCGCTCAGCGAGCTATGAAGAGGGCTATGCTCGGGGTTTTTCTGCGCGATAAACTTAGAAATGAGGATATCCGCAGAAGAACCAGAGTAACTGACATAGCCCAAAGGATTAGTAAGCTGTAGTAGCAATGGCTGGCCCATTGTTATCGGTTATATAGCTCAAAGAACCGATAACCGATGGGGAAGAAAGGTTCTCGAGTGGCAGACTCGTACTGGTAGGCGAAGTATAGAGCGAACCGCTACTAGATGGAGTGACGACCTTGTAAGACATGCAGGAAGTCGATGGATGCTGTTGGCTCAGGACCGTGCTTTGTGGCATTCCTTGGGGGAGGCCTGTGTTCAGCAGTGGACTTGTGAAGGGCTGTAATGAATGAATGAATGCATGAAACCATATAATATGTATTTATCGATAATATGAAATTTATCAGCTGTATTTTTATTTAGATCATTTATTATGTCTTTATTATAAGCAAACACATTTCAAATAAAGTAACTTTTGTTCATCGAATTGTAGCACTATTATTTGTTCTGTAACCGCTTGTTCCATGCTTACTTCGTGCTGGATAAATTTACAAGCAATGGAGAAGGAATATATATTTTTAAACTTAAACATTTAATAAATAAAATAAATAATTTTTAAAATCAAAAACCCTGAAAGTCTAGTTAGTAGCAAGCTGAACCTATTAATTTTCGTCCGGTTTATAATCTTCAATTGGGTCCCGGCTGCTATTAAGCTTAATTTGGGTATTTAACTTAGACTTTCAGCTCATAATATAGTCTGTTAAACCGAAGTGGAGTTTACTTTGTTAATACTTAATTTCAATTTTGTTTTCTATTCTCAATCTTGTTTCGGTCGTTTTAGTGCATTACTTTTAAATTGTCTTTTTTGCAGTCGGGTTTTTGATTTTTTTTAAAATTATTTATTTGATTTTAGACTTTTTAGTGTCCTGACACACTTTTATGAACTAAATTTTATATGGTAGCACGAGGTCCGACACAAACATGGCCCATTTTACGTTTTTACCATTTTTTCAAAAATTTAATTACTGACACTAAATTTAATTACTGAAAACAGTAATTAAATTTTAACATATAACTTAAATATATTTTGCAATTCCCTTTTAATTTCCTTTAATTTGGTACCCTACTCGATTATTTTGGTTATTTTTTTTAAATTAACGTATTACGATTTTGCACCAAAATACCACCATTTTGTTTTTTTTCAAACAGCGATCTAAAAACACTTAGGTTTCTAAGACGAATAAAACGATAGCTTAATTATTGAAATCCATCCAGCCGTTTGGAATATACGAGGTAACAATGAAATTTACAAACATACAAGTCACACGCGATAAACATAACCCTTCCTTGGCAGTCGGGTAAAAACAAATACCGACTACAGAACCCGCAAAAAATATAATTCCCACATTATAACTTCTGAAATGTGCTAAGACAGCGTAATTAGGTCAGGTTAGGTAAAAAATACTAATATAAGTAAATATACTTTACTAAGTTTACACTATAAATATACTTTAAATAATAAATAAATATACTTTAAATACCGTGTAGTGGCGGTGTAAGAATGTCCTATCCTCATATTATCCCGTGGACGTCGTAAGAGGCGACAGAGGGAAACAAATCAGGAGATGGGCAGCGGCATATTCCTAATAACGACTCAAAGTAATAAAAAACTGCGAATGCCAACCCGCCTGCCAAGCGTGGTAACTATAGCAAAAGAGAGGGGATATTGCCATATGAGGTAATCTATGGGGGAGGCCTATGTTCAGCAGTGGACTATTATATAGTGTAAGGGTTCGATACTTTAAATAAGACTATAATATAATGTTATTGGAAACGGGACATTCCATCTTAATCCTCAAGGGTGACAACGTATCTCCATTTTGATTTTTAATTGAAGATAGATGTAGAAGTCTACATCTATCTTCAGACGTCTACGGGCACTTACTATCGAATGGACTGAGTGTTCATTTGTCACCCTTATTCTATAGAAAAACTTAAACCAAATATTTAGAACAAGATTTAAGCTTGAGCTCCTTACTTCTCGAAGTCCAGTATCCACCAATTGTCGCTATTGTAAAAAAAATACATCAGAAAACCAATTACTTACGTCTGCACTCTCTGTTTCTTGATGTTATTGTGCATATCGGGCATAGAACGGGATTTCTCCAGTAATCGGAGCGGAGAGAGAAGAAGTCTCGTTCGTGTCATGCGCACTTGTGGAGAGAGTGCTAGAAATATAAGAGAATTCATTTAGTAGAATCTTCACTTAGTAGAGTCACGCTACAGCTGTGTTATGCCTGCACGAATTGGTCGGCTCGACCGATGAAGTAATAATAATATCTTCCAGACTGAATTTCGGTCACGGTGGCCAGTCTTAACGGAGACTAGCCATCGGTGCAGTACAGGGTTATAGTGCCCAAGTGTATGCGCAAGCACAGGTGCGCTATCTTCACTCTCATAGTCCGATGGGACGGTAAACCGACACGACCGGAGGGAGATCAGGCACAGGACTAACCGCTTTACGCGCTTTCTGAGGCATGGAGATTATACACCGCTAACTTCCTGACTCCTGGCAGGTACTGAGAACTTGTTGATAGAAAAGGTCATTAACAAAGTTTTTTGTCCGACCCAGGATTCAAACGCGGGACTTCATGATTAGAAGTCGTACTACTACAACTCGACCAACGAGGCAGTAGATGGAGTAACGACCTGATGAAGCACCCACCTTTGTGCCAACTATGGGCCTATGTTCAGCAGTGGACTTGCTGTATTGTAGTAGTAGTAGTAACAGCTGTGTACTCTTCCTCTTCTCCAGTTCGTTCAAGTCTACTCCTGGACATTGGAGTCACCCATTGTAGAGAAGATGATCGTCAAACTAATGACATAGCCCAACAGATTGGTAAGCTGAAGTGGCAATGGGCTGGCCATATAGCTCAAAGAACCGACACCCGATGGGGAAAAAAGATTCTCGACTCTCGTACCAGTAGCCGACCTGTAGGGCTTCCCCCCACTAGATGGTAAGACATGCTGGAAGTCAATGGATGCAGGTGGCTCTGGAACGTGCTTTGTGGCATTCCTTGGGGGAGGCCTATGCTGAACATAGGCCTCCTCCAGTGGGCTGTAATGATGATGATGAATCGTCCTGCGTTTCCTGCGTTCTTATTCTTTTAATAAAACACTAATTTTCCGTTCGGCGTTTTGTATACAATGACTGCAGGTGGATAAATTTTCAGATGCCTTAGCCTCGCCCTACAATATAGACGTCAGGGGCTAAGCGCTCGCTGTAAATTTCACAGTGCGCGAGCAACCAGGGTTCGATAGGCGAAGACTGATGAGCTATTGAGTGCATCGATTCTGCCGGCAGAATCGACGGCTCATGTAATTTAATGGCCCCTCAGAAGGAAGTACGAACCTCGGCTTGAACCACTATCGGAATTAGGGAAACGAATCATAAACTAACAACGCTCCGTATGATGTGTAGGGCATGAATTTATGACATAGTACTTCAGAACTTTAATATCGTGATTTAGGTTTGGGTTTGTTTGGCTTGTGGGGCAATCTACAGGGCCGTTACACTTGTAGACAATACCTTATAGCAGTTTAATACTCCTGTCTTTCATATAGTGAGTGTAGAGAACCGTAGACCCATATTAGTGGAAATGAGGCATTTCATCTGACTCCTCAAGGGTGACAACGCATCTGCATTTGAATTCATAATTTAAGACAGATGTAGGTACCTATAGGGCACAGCATGCACTTACCATCAGGTAGACTGTGTGCTCGTTTGTCACCCTTATTCTATAAAAAAAAACATCGCGGCCCGCTCGACCAAACGCCACTGGTTTCCAGGCTGTCTTAATTCCTTCTTCTCACTTACCTTTCGAGACGACGCTGTTTTCCTCGTCTAAGCAAAAGCCGTCGTTGGTGTACGAGGTCGGGGAGAAGTCCACGGAACGCTTGGCCTTCGTGCTTCCCGACGAGCACTTGCGTTTGCTCCAGTTGCTTTGGTTTGAGATTGAGCGGTTCAGTTTCCTTCGGATACAATTAAATTTTTTAAAGATGTTTAAATTAGTTAAGTGAAAATATAATTAGAATGTTGCGTGTAAAATATTTGCGATGTGTGACCTCTAAGTTCTTAGCGGTCTTCACAGAGTCTATTTTTCACCTAATGCCTTGTTTAGACGAGAAATATGTGTCGTATTGTCGACGGTGTTTTGTTTTGTAATGGTGATGTGAGTAGTTTTATTTTTAAAGAAAAAAAAGTGGTGATAGTGATAGTACACGGAATACCATGCGGAAGGGTGGGAGGTGTATGACAATAACCCCTGAAAATGAGATGACGCATACCAAGATATCCATACATTTTTAATATAGTTGATGTAAATAAAATGATTCAACATTATAATAAGTATACAATATTATTGTAGGCTTTTATATAAGATAATCAGCCTACTGGGTTTCTCGTTAGTATCCCAGGAAAACTGAGGAACTTGGTTTTTCTAGTGAGTTATTTTCAAACTAAATTAAAAAAATCGGGGTGTGGCTGTGTAGTGTACACGTGTGTTTTACGTGAATGCATGCACGTGTTGGTGGCGGTGTAAGAATATCCACTACCCACACATTCCGTGGATGTCGTAAGAGGCGACAAGGGAAACAAATCAGGAGATGGGCGGCAGCGTCTTTCTAACTAAAAATAAAAAGAAACTGCAGTCGCCAAACCGCTTGCAACCTTTGGGGCAAATGGTGGAGGCCTATGTTCAGCAGTCGACTTTAATAGGCTGTATCGACTTCAAAATTACGACGTTTCTCCTCCGCCGCGTGCGACGCGTCACAGTCAGTTACACACAATCTAACGAATTCTTTCTTTGATCCTTCAGCTATCGAGTAGTGTAATTAAATTTTGGATGTAGATGTTAGTTATGTTGCTGCAACACCCATTTGTATCCCCCGATTTTGTTATCATCAGTTTTCTGAATTACCTCTCACTATGGAAGCAAATTTAAAGACTTTTTTATATATCATTAATAGAATCAGGCGTTACTTTGCGGAAATCCATTATATAAAAGCTTTTAGAAAAATTTACTTCGCAAATATCCGCGTTTGACTTTTTTATATGGTAAGTGGATGCAGTGGCCCACAGACATCTACATTTATCCTCAATTAAGTATCAAAATGCAGATGCCTTGTCAGCCGTGAGGACTAAGATGGAATGCCTCGTCTCCACTAAAAAGGGCCTCCGGTTCTCTACACTCACCATACGAAACACAGCAGGGTTAAGCTGTTATTCTGTGAGAGCGTGGTCCTTCCGCGCTAAAACCGCCTAAATACTTTCAATAAGTAATTTGTCGTCTATATTGATGAGAGTAGTAAAAAAATGACTCCTATAAGACTTGTTATAGTGCAGGATGTTACTGACTGGTGCGTGCGCGAGTCCTTGGCGTGCAGGCGCTCATGTTCGCGCTCGAAGTACTCGTGGAGTCTGTTGGTCCACTCGCCCACTCCGCGCACGTGCAGCCACAGATAATCTGAACAAAGCGTTAACAACCTGGTTAGTAAAATGCTAGTAAAGCTAGTAAGGCGGTAAAGCTACTTTCCCTTCTGAAAATACATTCAGATATATATATGTGGTGACACTGTCGTTGCGCCACGATAGCGTAAACTTAGTCTAAATCACGCTATCGAAGTTTTCAAACGATTCTATGTATGTACAGATATATTTTTATAAAAGAAAAACAATAGAGTGTAATAAGTTAAGGAAATAGAAGTCTATGTTATAGATAGATGTGAAAATGTCATAGAGATTTCAAATTTTGGAATTTTATTAAGGAGATGGTGTCTTGAGAATCGATTTTTACAAAAAGATTTTCCCACCATTGAGGGTAGAATTTTTCTTTAAATTTAAATAGGAACACCCTTAAGGAATAATATTTTTAATAAACAGAATCATTTAATTGGTTCATCCGTTTCCGAGAAATAGGTGAATATAATAAAATGTAATAGGATAAAATAAAGAAGTTAATCATCGTTTTACCTTCTTGTTCCGGTGCACTGCTAATGGTGAAGGGATGCCACTCGTACGTGGCGATAGCGGGGATGTTCACGAACACATAGTCCCCGGCGTGGAAGTCAAAGAGCGGGGGGCGGCGGATGACCAGGTGAGTGACGCGAGACGGCAACAGGATGCCTGACGATATGTATGTTTTGCCACGTTCTGACCTGCAGTCAAATTCAATAATATCTTATTCATTTGAGGTTTATTTCTAGATACCGTGGTGGTGGGGGAAGAGAACGCATTTCATCTCGTGGGTGTCATAAGAAGCGATAGAGCAGGGTTTCTCAACCTTTTTTTCACCAGGGACCACTTTGAATTTTTGTAGTTAGCAGGGACCACAAGGTGAAAGAAAAGGCTGTGTTAATCTAACAATAAATTATGTATAACCACAACTTCTGAATAGAAGCATTAATTAACAATATTATTTGTGTATTTATTGTAAAAGCTAGTAGGTACTCACTATCGTGATGGGCGGTGTTGCACTGCCCGCGTGACGAGAATATAATTAACGTGTTATTTATAATGATTATGTAGGTAAGATATTTAAATCATTTGCCGACCATATTTAAGCTGTTGTGGACCACAGGCGGTTCGCGGACTACTGGTTGGGAATTACTGCGATAGAGGGAAATAGAAACATGAAATGGGCAGCAGCACCTTCCTAAAATAATAAAAACCTGCAGTTGCCAACATGAATGATTGACATGTTTATGATGAAAGAGAAAGAGGCTTATTTCAAAAATCAATTTCTTGTCAAATTCGTATTAACTTCTTTTCTCAATATCTAACTTCTACCAGATTAAATAAACAGGCACAAACAATGGACTGGTTGCAGACAATCCGTTCACTCCAACTGGTAATAGAGGGTAGCATTATAATGTTTCTGAGCTTGCTAACTTCTTGACCAGTGTGATGAGTATGAGCATAATTTTCAAGTGTAATTTATTAATTTAAATTATGAATATAACATGTTGCGTTTTATTACTCGTACTTGCGATTCGACTCGGCTCCGACTACCCGGTGTTAGTGGCATGTTAATAACACCCTTAGCTTAATAAAAGGCTGTTAATTCAAACGTCACTTTATTTTTATTTATATGTAATAATAGATTTATCGACGCTGAATTTCTAAGAACCAACCTGTAGTTCTGTTATGGTTGCAGCACGAATAGGTGGTTTGACCAGAAATGAACCATGTTTTCACAGAATACCAGAGACGAGAATCAGAACCGCTATTTACTGATAACGAGGAATATGGTTAACAAGGATCCGCATTTGATTCTTAATCGAGGATAAATCTGTGCATACTCTCTACTGTCTGTGGACCACAGCATTAATCTGCCATCATTCATTACAATCGATTAACTGTCCACTGTTGAGTAGACCCTCAAAAATAATTTGGAGGCCATACAGATACTTGTTCCTTGCGAGATTTGAAACCGCGACCATAACGCCGTATCAAGATTTTAGGCTACTGCGCTATAGAGCATGCAGCGCTAATATGTTTGAAGAACACTTACCTCATCCAGGCCAAACGCATGATCCGTTCAATTATGTAAATGGTCCCGGGCAGTATGAACCACTTCCAGAAGTTGGGTGCGTGGAATATCACCAGCACCCAGAATGGGACGTAGAGTAAGTGGGTCCAGTAGAATACCTGCAAATGTGGAAACAGGAAAAATATAAAGTCTTGTTGGGTTTCTTGCAGGTTCTTACACTGTACATATAGGCATAGCATTTATGACAAATAATTTTTTTTGGTTGTTATTTAAGGGATTTTATTGTTCACAATAGGTAGTTAACTAAATTCAATATCGTGAAAAAATGTTATTCACATCTGACCTAACTGAAACGCGCATCGGTTAAAGAGGATCCATGGACTGTCTCTTATAACTAGATCTCAGGCCAATGCAGAGGTAATAAACTTACATACAATTTGCAAATAAAAAGTCATTTAAATTGAATAATTTCAAAGAACATTTTTATGGTAGAGTTTTCTGAAGTAAATTTATTTAACGCACGGTTTTTGTTACATTTTGTATAAAAAATTAATAGTTTATATATCTTTCATCCAATAACTATGAAATTTTGGAGTTTAGTGCGTGCGTACCTGCGAAGGTGTCTGACATAAAATGGATTTGTTTGTGTGCTTGTCTGTTTTATACGTGTTCCTATTCCTTCTAACCGGTAACTATGAATCATCGGATAGTAATTTCGCGCACGCCCGCAAATATTTCTGACAAAATAGTCATTGTATCGCATGTCTATTCTATTACCCCAGGTATTTCGTCCCAACTGTGACGAACTGACTCGAACCCAAAGGAAAAATTAAATACTAAATTGCTTGGCTATGGTGACAATGTATCACCGGTATATATCAGCGAGCACCTTACAAAAGTGAATAAACAACTACATGCCACCGTCAGACTCAAGGCTAAAGAGAAGAAATATAAGTTTGTCTGGGTCCGTAATGGAAGAATATTTGTGAGGAAGGACGTAGACACACCAGCTATTGTTATCGCACATATAGATAACCTGAAGAAGATAACATAGGTATATAATATAATATTTTGTTTTTGTGTAAGGATTTGTAAGTGTAATTTATTTCTTTCCTATTTTTAATATTTTGTTAACATTGTATATTTATAGTTCGTTATGTGTGTTTTAACCTGTTTTAATAACCTTAATATTTATTATCAGAATATTAGAGGAATGAGAACAAAGCTAGATGAAATTAATAATAACATTCTCTCTAGTAACTGTCAAGTGATTATACTCACCGAAACGTGGCTTAATGATCACATATTAGATACGGAGTTATTCGACAGTAGATACCAAATATATAGAAGAGATAGATTCTCAAACACTTTTTACAGCGGAAAAGATGGAGGCGGTGTACTTGCGGCAGTAGACAAATCAATATGTTCGTATAGAAATTATTCTTTTGAAACCCGCTGCGAAGATCTCTGGATCACATTAGATATGAATTCCCCGAATAAGAAAAACGTTAATCGTTTTCGAAAATTACATATTTGCGTTTGTTATATGCCTCCACCCGTTTGCAGAGACTATCTTCTTCAGTTCACGGAGAAAGTAAGCAATGTCATTAACATTGTGACAGAAACAGTACTTTTAGTCGGCGACTTTAATTTTGGTAACTTAGAATGGGCAAAAGAATCCACAGATAATATAATCCCGAGTAATTTTGAGGGGACATTAAGTCAAATGTTCGTGGACTTCATGTCATTAAATGATTTACAGCAATATAATCTCATCAAAAATAAACAACATAAGATTTTAGATTTAGTCTTGTCAAACATCAAGTTGCCTATTCATGTATCAGAGTCGAACGACGCCCTCTCAGTTGTAGATGGGTATCATCCACCATTAGAGATCGATATTCCATTTAAGAAACATTCTCCTCTCAAGTATAAAGACAACCGTGTATATAAATTCTACAAAGCAGATTATAATGATGTTAGAAAAAGCTTGAATTCTATCAATTGGGACGATGAACTGAATATATGCTCTACCACGGACGAATCAGTAAATAAACTATATGAAATTACTAATAAAATTATAAAGGACAAAATACCGTTACAACACTCACAAAAACATAAGTACCCACCTTGGTTCAGTATCCATCTTATAAAAATTTTAAAGGAAAAGGAAAAGTGTCGACAAAAATGGAAAAAATTTAAAAACCATCTAGACCAATTTGAATATGATATATTAAAAAAACGAACTAATATGCTTATAAAAAAATTGTACAATAAATATATTAATGATGTTCAGGATAATCTAATAAAGAATCCAAAAGTGTTCTGATCTTACCTAAAACAAAAACGTCAAAACTCCATTAATATACCACAAAACATGAAACTCGACAATATTAAAATAAATGATGGAGCCAGTATTGCAAACTTATTTGCTAAAAAATTTGCTGGTGACTACACTGTTCCTGCAATTCACATCAATTTAATAGCACAATACCATCTTGCACTCAGTCATTAAATAATATATATATATATATCACTAGAAAAAATTAAGACAACCTTAAAAAACCTGGACGTTAAAAAGAGTGCAGGCAGTGATAGTATACCTCCTATATTCTTCAAAAATTGTGCAAATCAGTTCTCTAGACCTATCATCTATATATCATATACAATAAGTCACTTTCTGAAGGATATTTTCCAACTCAATGGAAAGAAGCTCTTGTTGTGCCTATACCTAAATCCGGTGATCGATGCGATATTAAAAATTATCGACCAATCAGCATTCTTCCAGTACTGGCTAAGGTCTTTGAGTCCCTCATATGTCCTACCTTAAACTGGCATATAAAACAACACATCACTGATCGACAACACGGTTTTGTCAAACAACGTTCAACTGCAACTAATCTAACTGCATTTGTTGAAAGAACGATTACAAGCATGAGCAACGGTGATGAAGTTGATGTAATATACAGTGACTTTAGTAAAGCCTTTGACAAAGTTGACCATTTAATCCTCGAGCATAAGTTAAAAACACAGTTTGGCATAGAAGGCTCACTTCTAAAATGGTTTCACTCATACCTCTCAAAGAGGACTATTAAAGTAATAGTAAACGGTTTTATTTCAAACACTTTCACTCCGACATCTGGTGTTCCACAGGGATCTATCCTTGGCCCCGTTCTCTTTATTATTTTTATAAACGATATTAAATATATAATAAAAAACTCTGAATTCGAACTTTATGCAGACGACCTAAAAATATCAAAGATTGTCAAAACTGAGCAAGAGCAAAGAGCTTTACAAGATGATATCGACAAATTTTACTATTGGTGCCAACATAATAGAATGGAGCTGAATATCAAAAAATGTTTTCATATCAAATTCTCCCGAAAATACCATAAATTCTAAACTAGCTATAACATTGCAAAACAACCACTCAAAAAGGTCGACGTGGTTCGTGATCTGGGCGTCCTCATCGATTCAAAAATGAATTTCGGAGAACACATTGATGCAGTTGTAAATAAAAGCCTGAGGATGATTTCATTCATATTGCGAAACACCAGAGAATTTAAATCAGTCATTGCATTAAAGACTCTTTATTTTTCATTGGTTCGCTGTAACATAGAATATTGTTGTAATGTATGGTATCCCACTTATCAAAACAACATTCAACGATTGGAAAATGTTCAAAAGAAGTTCATTCGCAAACTCTCATACGTTGCTGGAGTGCATCGCACTATAAGGGCTTATGAGGAAAAGCTCGATTATTTCTCCCTAAAATCATTACATCAGCATGCAGACAAACTCAGACTGGTTTTCCTTTACAAGCTCCTTAATGGTGCCATTGACTGCCCTGAATTACTTTCCCTAGTAGGAATAAGAAACCCCAGACCATCGACTCGGCTGCACACCTATGCCCCATTATTTGTGCCTAGAAGAAGGAACAATTATGGAAAGAATAGCCCCATATCACTTGTTTTATCCAGATATAATCGACTTTTTAGAAAGGCAAGCATAGATATAGATATTTTTTCAGACAGTGTTAGCCAATTTCTAGTGAATGTTGAAAAGCACATCGAGTAACTCGATATAAACATTCATCCTATATGATAATAAAATTAAGTAGCCATACTTAATGTAACTTTATTCTATATTTTACTTAAAAATATGTCTTTTCTTAAATCTTAACTTAAATCTCACACATAATTTTTAGTATTGTTTTAAATAAAGTAATTGCGTTAATGTTAAAGTGTTGTACTCACCTATAATTTAAGTACATATATATAATGTTATACAAAATGTAGCCGAAATGTTTTCATATGTACTTAGTTGGTAAGTCTAAATAAATAAATAAATAAACTGTGACGAAATCTGATTCTTAGAATAAACAGAATATCAATAAGGACAGTCTTTTATAAGCTTGTATTGAAAAAGCTGATGGTCACATCACCACTCACTCACTACAGCCCATCAGAAGTCCACAGCTGCTAAAGCTGTAAAATACTCCAACCAGCGATGGCCTGCTGCGTCTATGGTACTCAGGTCTAGTTTGTAGGTCTTAAATTGTCAATCCGCCTGTTAAGCAGGATTTTGGGAAATTATCTTTACTCCAGAAAAGGGCCATTCGGAATGGACTTTAACAAAACCTGAAGATACCGCCATCAATCGGTGGATAGCTAGGTAGAGCTGTTTTTCTGTTTAAAATTATGCCTGGCTTGGAGCCACTTTCTTGCCTTTTTCTGGTGTCAAGCAGTTCCAGTGTGAAGGGTGGAGACATCTTAACGGACAGTAGTGACTTTGCCCATGGACTGCAGTAGCCACTTACCATCAGATAGACTGTAACTCCTTTAGTAACTACTTGATATAAAAATAGTTGCCGAATAGGTACCTCGAAGCTGCCGCCTCTGCGTACGGCGGGACGGCTGCTGGTGGCCAGCACCAGTAGGATGACGAGCAGCGCTAGCCCCGTGGGGTTGGCGGCGCCGCCCACCAGCCCGAACAAGCCTGGCCGGCTTGTACCCACCCACTCCCACACCGTGTAATTCTTCGCGTTCAGCACCGGGTCCTTTACCACCACCAGACCTGAGTGAAAGACAAAATATATAAACTAAATATTACTTGTAGAATTAGGTGAAAAACGAACGACGGGCACACAGTCCACCTGATGGTAAGTGGATGCTGTGGCCCATAGACATCAACATCTGTTATAATAATTCTAGTAATAAGCAAAGTACTCACTGAAGTTACACAGATGCATGACAGTGTGCACTATGCTGTATATGATGATAAGAACGCCGGTCAGTTTGTGCAGATATATGTGATGGTCGAGGGGCAAGAGGGACCCCAACCCTCGCACTCGAAGCGCCGTGATACAATTCCGTAGCATAAGCACCAGTACCCAGGAGCAGTTGAAGTTCAGGCATTGACCTGCAAGTAACAACTAAAGTTAAAGTTACTTCTGGCACTTGTTTCCTCCATCACCTATATTGCAGTCTACTTGTTTGTTGTATGATGGCAATTTAGCATAGTTACAAAATGATGCAATTACTAGATTTATCAGAAATTTTCTCGTACAACTTCCTTGTGGAATCGACTACCACCAGCGATTATTCCAGACCGATACGACTAAGGGACCTTCAAGATAAGAGCCTAACTTGTGTCGACCTCGTAAGACATACAGAAAGTCAATGGATACAGGTGGCTTGAAGTTGCGTCATTACATTGGGGGAGGCCTAAATATAGTTGTGGACTTTGAAGGACTGTAATGATGATGATGACGAGACATTCCCATTCTGGTCTTCATTATGACAACGCAACTGTAGCCTTCTTTTTTTGTAGTTGCTTGCAGGTGTTCATGGACTACATTAGCCACTTATCAGCGGAAGGACTGAATGTTCGTTTGTAGCTTATATTTTATAAATATTCCTCATCATCATCATCATTACAGCATTTCACAAGTCCACTGCTGAACATAGGCATCCCCCAAGGAATGCCACAAAGCGCATGTTCTGAACGGTTCCACTTACATCCATCGACTTCCTGCATGTCTTACCAGGTCGTCACTCCATCTAGTGAGGAGACGCCCTACACTTCATCCGCAGCTACGAGGCGGCCACTTGAGAAACTTGTTTCCCCATCAGTTGTAGGATCTTCAAGCTATTTGGCCGGCCTATTGCCAACTCAGCTTACTAATCCGTTGGGCTATGTCGGTCACTCTGGTTCTACTGCGGATATCCTCATTTCTAACTTTATCACGCAGAGAAAATCCGAGCATAGCCCTCTCCATAGCTCGCTGAGCGACCTTGAGCTTCCTCATCCGGGAAGCAGTGAAGGATCACGTCTCAGTTCCATAGGTCATTACTGGCAATACACACTGGTTGTATAGTCTCGTTTTCACGTTTTGAGGTATACCTGACGAGAAGATGTCCCGTAATTTCCCGAACGCTGCCCAGGCGAGTTGAATCCGTCGATTGACCTCTCGGTCGAAGTTGTACTTACTTAATATGGAAGTGGGAGTATTTGTCCCAGGTAAACATACTCATCAACAACTTCGAGCTTAGTGCTCCCAACAAGTAACGGCATAGGTGTGACATGGACGTTATACATGATCTTTGTTTTATCCATGTTCATCTTAAGACCTATTCGTTGGGAGGCACTATTGAGGTCATTGAGCATAGTACTTAGGTCCTCCAGCGATTCTGCCATAAGAACTATATCGTCGGCAAATCGAAATTGAGTGATGTACTCGCCGTTGATATATTAATATATCCTTTTCAGTCCAGTAGCTTGAAAACGTTTTCCAATGCAGCGGCGAAGAGTTTCGGGGATATAACGTCACCCTGTCTTACACCTCTGCTCTGCAGTTGAATAGGTTTCGGACTCTGATTCTGTAATCGGATAGCCATCGTAGCCCTACTGTACAAACACTTCAACACTTCGATATACCGACAGCCAACTTGGCACCGCTGAAGGGACTGCAGCACCGCCCAAACTTCGACGGAATTAAAGGCTTTCTGTTAGTCCACATACGCAAGGCAAAGTGGCAAATTGTACTCCTCGGACTTCTGTATAATTTGCCGAAGGTTATGTACGTGCTCTATGGTGCTAAAGCCTTTTCGAAAACCGGCTTGTTCGGAAGGCTGGAAGTCGTCAAGTATGCGTGCGAGACGATTTGTAATGACTCTCGAAAACAGCACGTAGACGCGGCTCAGAAGGGAAATCGGTCTGTAGTTCTTCAAGAGAGCGTTGTCGCCTTTCTTGAAGAACAAGACCACCGCACTTCTACTCCACGCCTCCGGTGAAGTGCCATCATGGAAGACGGAGTTAAAGAGCTTCTGAAGGACTTCAAGTACCGGTTTTCCGTCAGATTGAACTCGATTAGCTCCACTTCCTGTGGGGCCGCTTCTGGAAGAAGGAGTTCATCAGAAAGAGTTCTTCTTTCTCCATGAATTTGGCCAACTGCAGGCCCCTTGGGTTTCGTTGCCCTATTCCAAATTTCCTTTCCTTCAGCTCACCGTTCTCTTTTGTGTCTAGTTTCGCGTTGAAGTCTCCTGTTAACACCGTATAGTAGGTTGTGGAGGAATGCATGGCTCTAGATATATATATATATATATTTTTTATAGGATAGGGGGACAAACGAGCACACAGTCCGCCTGATGGTAAGTGGTTGCTGTGGCCCATAGACATCTACATTTATCCTCGTTTGTGAATCAAAATGCAGATGCGTTGTCACCCGTGAGGACTAAGATGGAATGCCTCTTATCCAGTAAAAAGGGTCTCCGGTTCTCTACACTCACCATACGAAACACAGCAGCATTAAGCTGCTATTTTACGCTGGTATTCTGTGAGAGCGTGGTCCTTCCTCGGTCGAGCCGACCCATTCGTGCTACACCTATACTACTAATATAGCTGCAGCATGGCTCTACCACGTGTAAAATAAATATAATCTTCATACATTTCCTCCACCTCCTCATCGGGATGTGCCGAGGTTGGTGCGTAAACCTGTATGACCTTCAGCGAATACCGTTTGGTGATTCTGAGTACAAGGTACGCAACCCTTGTCGACAAACTCTCAATCTCTACAACGTTGTTAACAAGATACTTGTAGACGATAAATCCGACACCTCCTTGGGACAGATGTTCGCCCTCCCGGTGATAGAACAAGTTGCCGGATTCCAGGATTACCATGTCCTCATCCTCTCTTCGGACCTAAGATAATCCTATTATATTCCAGCACAACTTGTCTATCTCTTCTTACAGATTCAGGATCTTCTCGTCAGTCCTCAGGATGCGTGCGTTATATGATGCCAGGTCGAGTCGTCTTAGGCGGCAACCAAACCTCCTCTTAGCACCCCCTGCCCCGCTGTTACCATGGTCGCCACTGTAGCCAGGATTAGCGGGGCCGCCGGGGACTGGGGACCGTCTCTTTGTTGCTCTAATCATTGGGGGGTATTTGCCATAGTTGCCACGCTTGGCGAGCGGGTTGGCAACCGCAGTTTTTTTGGAAGGAAGATGGTGCTGCCCATCTCCTGCCTGTTTCCTTTTGTCGCCTTTTACGACACCCACGGGAAGATATGGGGTAGTGGGTATTCTTACCCGCCACTACACGGTTGTTCGAAAACGCTGGCAACGCACATGTAATTCTCCTGGTGTTGCAGTTGTCATGGCCGGCGGTCGTCACTTACCGTCAGATGCACTTACCGCATACTCGTTTGCCCCCTCTTATATAAAAAAAAACTTACCACTTAGATACACTCACCACAAGCCCTAGCCATCATAACGAATCCATTAGCGTTCCTGTATTCCACACACCTGGCCACGAATAGACCAAGGTTGACTAAGAAGAACAGGCCCAAGTACGCGAGGAACACCTGGTTGTTTTTTAAGTAAGGCCAGGAGAGCTGGTACGGCTTCATCTTGTTCAGTTTCTGGAGGAATGATGTTGGCTCGGGGTCTGGTGGTGGGGGGACCAACCAGCGATCTATGCTGTAGAAATTTTCATTATATTAGTCTTTTATTTCACAATTTTGTACGTGCTGAAACATGCTGCTGTGTTTCGTATGGTGAGTGACAAAAAATGATGACGAGAAACTGAAACTCTTTTTTACTACGGTATTCTATCTCAGTCCTCAGGGGTGACAACGCAATGAAATTTTGATTCTAAATCGAGGATAGATGTAGATGCTTATGACACAGTATCTACATACCATCAGGTGGACTGTGTGCTCGCTTACCCATATTCTATAAAGAATTGCGTTGTCAGTAGCTAGATTAAATGTGTTGCTTCAAACTCAAAGCCTCCGATCGGTGCCAGTAAAACGTTTATACTAAACGTAAAACTACCACCACCACCCAGTCCCGCGACAGGCAACAGCAGAGAAGATGTTTATCTGATATTTCGCCTGCCAAGCGACTATTGCTAATCTTTCCTACTATGCAAGAGGATCAAGTCTAGCGATGAACTGACTATTTGGATACCTCGTACCAAAATATTTCGGTGGTGGTCCAGAATTAAACTAAAAATGTGCAATACAACGTACTGGTAAAATTCTAGGTGCACTATTGTGAATGCCTTTTTAGATGAGAGTAACGTAAGATAACCCATCATCCCATTCCGTTCGGTTTTTCGTAAGAGATGATTATAGGACATCCCAGAAAGACCTTCTGGCTCCCGATAGATGGCGATTTAAGAATCCCACTTAGGCCAGGCGTAAAATATTTAGACCGCGGATGGAAAGTGCGAGACATGATCTATCGTCGACAATAAAGCCGACTACTCCCTACAACGTAAATAAAAGCCCCTTGTCTAAAAGGGACTTTAAGGCCCGTGTTAATAAAAGTAACTCAACAACCAACTCAAGTGCGTAATCATTTGATATACAATATGTATTCCAGCCATCTTCTCTATTGAAAAAACATCCTAATTTCAATAGAGAAGATGGCTGGGTGCTACCATCTGCTTGGGATCATAAAATTAAATCCCAACCCCAGCATACAATAGCAAGACTTCATGATACTGTAAGTTCATACTGCGTAGATCGGAACAAAAATTAATAATTTTTAATCTGGAGGTAGCTATAGTTAACTATGATATTGGGACGTCAAACACTTCAGTCCCCCCCGTGACCATGGGTGCTGTAAAGTACTCGAATTGTCGGGATTATAAAATAAGTTAATATACGCGATAAAATTCGTAAAACTAGTTTTACGGATTGGACATTATTATTATTATTATTACTATCCCACGTGATGACAAGTGGTGATGCAGCTGAAAATGGTAAAGTGCACTGACTTAGCTAAACAAAAGTGTATTCACTTTTGCCTTCAAGACACCCACATTATAATCGGATGGAAAGACAGATGCGACAATTTATTACACTCCTTTGCAGTACAATGTACAAGTGCTTCTGTTCTGTATGCTTTCCTTGCTTAGAAATATATTGAAATTAGTGTGATAGAGCTATCACCATACATCCATTCATTACAGCGCATTTAAAAGTCCACGGCTAGACATTAGATTGCTTCGTAAAGGGTATTAGATATGTGATCATTCAAGTATTGTTTTTGTTTTACGAACCGGATCATTCGGGTCGATCATTCCAATGGATCATTTCGAGTTTCAGTACTCTGTGATTTGAGAGACCCGCTCGATAATGTCGATCGTCGGCTATTACTATCAGTTTGATTCGAAAGGTTCCAAATATGTAATTGAAATCATCAATACTTTGACGCAACCCGGGTCAGATGAACGAATAATTCACGATCGACACATGTCTAAGGGGTCTAGTAAGGTTGTCATAGTCGCCACGCCTGGCAAGCGGGTGCGCTATAGTTAACGGGGTTATAACAAATATAAGGCGCTAAATGTTTACCTGATAGACAAATTCTCCAGCAGTCCGCCATGTTTGCTCAGCTGATCTCTGAGCGCTTCGTAAGTGATGGCGCCGCGTTGCTCCACGTCCGCATCCTCGAACATAGCGCCAGTTAGCTCCAGAAGTTGGTCATCGCTGAACGTCATACCGTTTTCCTCCATGCACGCGCGCATTACGTGCTGCAGCTCGCGATGTTGGATTAAGCCATCGCCTGAAATTTTTGAGCCTATAGCATTTCTGAGACAATAATGATAATGTCCTTCAGATCGATATTTGAGTTACAGAGAGAAATCTTATAGGAGGCTAGTCATCTAAGTGGGGTTATAATAAAGTACACGAGGCATAGGTGCATTCTTTACTCCCGCAATCTTATAGGCCGATGGGACTGAACGCCTACACGACCAGAGAAAGATCAGGCCCATTACAAACGGCTTAACGTGCTTCACGGGGGTGAAACACCGTTCACTTCCTGACTCCGAGCTGCTACAGAGAATTTTTTGTCAGAGATACCCAATTACTAATTTTGATTTAAACTGGCATTCGAACCCAGTACCTCATGATCAGCAGTCGCGGCTACGACCACTAGACCGAAATGCAGCAATGCGCTGGTATTCTCTGAGACCACGGTCAGATGGAATGCCTCGTTTCCAGTAAAAAGAGTCCCCGATTCTCTACACTCACCATACGCAGCACAGCAGCATTAAGCTGTATACGCTGGTATTCTCTGAGAGCACGGTCCTACCCCGGTCGAGCCGGCCCATTCGTGCTACAACCATAATATAGCTGCAGTGTGGCTCTACCACGTATAAACGTTTGATTTTCAATTAAATTTAATAAAAAAGATATAACTAACCATCCAAATCGTAGACTTTGAATAGGAACTTGATCTTGTCTTCGGGCGTCTGCCGCCCAAAGCGGTGTACTGCCGCGATGAACTCGTGGTGAGAAATTGTACCAGAGTTGTCTTCGTCGAAGATTTGGAACACGCGCTCAGTGAAGAACGGCTGAAAAGGAAGACGATCAATTTTTTTATAAGTTATTTTAAAACAAAAAACTTACCACTAGGATTTTGTCCTAAATCTTAGAGGCAGTTTACATTCATAAATTTTACAAGAACACATCCAATCCCAAAACAATTATTCGTAGCCCATACAAATATTTGTTCCGTGTGGGATTCGAATCCGCAGGCCTCAGCGCCGTAATTCATTGCTAAGCCATTGAAGTTAATGGAAGACCATTTTTAATTTATCAATTATTTGTTAAGAAATAAATTCCAAATTCTAACATTGTTCCATTACAATCGGTTCAGCCATTCTAAAAGTTTAGATCGGACAGACAGTCGAACAGACAGATGGACACACATTTTAAAAAGGTGTGGTCACATATGATTTGATCAAGGTCTGACCAATAGTTTTTGAGTTATTCTTAATAACTTATATTGAAGTCGGCTGTACAATATTTTTAATTTTTAATTATAATCATCTACCTGTTAAGGATAAGGATGCTCTAATTATTTTGCAAAGTATATACAGGTTTTTGCTAGCCTAGGGGCGCTATCTACATTTAATCCGCCTCTGCGTGCGTGTGTAGATTATTTTTATTTTCAGGACATTCAAAAGTATTACGAAAGAGGCTTAATTAAAACTACTCAGTAATTACTAATTTTAATAATTTAAAATTAAAAATGTTGTATAACCGACTTCGATATAAATTATTAAGAATAACTCAAAAACTATTGGTCAGACATTGATAAAACGTATATAAGACCACATGTGGAGCACCAACTTTCAAATAAAACAAGAATTATCGAAATCGGTTCACCGAGTAAAAAGTTATGAGGTAACACATAAAAAAACATATAGGCGAATTGAGTACCGTCTCCTTTTTGAAGTCGGTAGAAGAAATTGAGACATGCCGCCCCCCAAAATCTGCTGCCCGGGCTATGTCTCCACCCCTTTGTACACCACTGAATGTTAAGATGAAATAGAAACTTATAATTCAATATAGATTATAAATAATACTTATTGAAAGTCACTCATTTGTTTGATTTACCACTGCCTCGCAAAATATCTGAACCTTTTTTAAATAAAGAAAAGTTTACAATCATTAAAGTAACACAATAATTAACGACGAGATGATATTGGAATGATTTTAAAACTTACGTTTTTAGAGACGACAATCTTCTGGAATTGCTCCCTTGTGATCTCTTTCTCGTCCCCCACAGTCTGCCTAAACAACTGCTCGAGTCTATCAACGCTTGGCTTGTCGATGCCCACACGTGGTCTGTTACAAGAAACAAAAACTGATTAGTAATGCAATTGTTCTGTTAAGCAAATCCAAAGGAGACAATTTATTTTTGTATGGTGGATGGCCTCACCAGAAATTGTTTAATTAGGAATGATAATTGATGATATATAATAACTTTCAACTAAATCTGTGGGTGTGATACACGCGCCACGCGACCTAGTGTAGTTAATTGTAATATGCCTATAACCTTCACGCAAGTACATATACAAGCAAAATGTTGATAAAGTTATGGCAGTTATGGAACGGTATGGCAACGCATAAAATATGAACAAACAAACATTAAGTTTTATATATTAGATTTTGCACGTGGTAGAGCCATGTTGCGGCTATATTAGTAGTATAGTTGTAGCACGAATGGGTCAGCTCGACCGGGGAAGGACCACGCTCTCACAGAATACCTGTGTAAAATAGCAGCTTGACACTAACGCTGTATTTCGTATGGTGAGTGTAGAGAACCGGAGACCCTTTTTAATGGAAAAGAGGCATTCCATCTAAGACCTCACGGGTGACAACCCATCTGCATTTTGATTCTTTATTGAGGGTAGATGTAGATGTCTATGGGTCACAGCAACCACTTACCATCAGGTGGACTGTGTGCTCGTTTGTCACCCTATCCTATAAAAAAGATAATAATTTATTACATTTACGCGAATAGCAAATTAAATGAAACTAATTTTACGGATAATATCGCGTTTAATTTTAACTTTTTAATTCCCGACATTTCGGGTGCTTTACAGCACCCATAGTCATGGTCACGGGGGGAGACTGAGGTGTTTGATGTCTCCCAGTTAACCCGTATACCTTCAGCTTTAAATATTAATCTTTCCGCAGCGTTCTGCGCAGATCGTACCAAAAATTATTACTATATTATACTCGATAAAATCCGTAAAATTATTTTCATAAGTCTTTTCTAACGATACCCCATATGTTAAGATCCATCAAAACGTTTAGGCTACAGAGCATGCTAAGGGAATATACATGCATACACTCAAAAAACTCTACTTAATAAATTACTTTACTTCTGCGGCAGTGGGGTAAAAAGAACAAGATAGTACGTGATCGTTGGATACGTGATATAGCCTCAATGCAGCTATATTATGGTTGTAGCACAAATGGGTCTCCTCAACCGAGATAGGAGTACGTTCTCAGCGTAAAATAGGAGCTTAATACTACTGTGTTTCGAATGAGTGTGGAGAACGGGAGACACTTTTAACTGGAACTGAGGCATTCCATCTTAGTCCTCACATGTGACAACGCATCTGCATTTTGATTCTTAATCGAGGATAAATGTAGTCTATGGGCCACAGCATTCACTTACGTTCAGGTGAACTGTGAGCTCGTAATTCACCCTAATCTGTTAAAAAAAAAGAACAAGAGATTTATTTCTGGTCTACCTGCTGCTGGAGACCGCGGCGATGAACTCCATGATGTCGTCAGCAGTGACGTAGCCGTCGTCGTCCGTGTCGACGAGCCGAAACAGTTTCTTGGTTACCTTAAGTAGTGTAATTAGTAGATATATGATTATTATATTAATCTGGTTTCAGCATAATATGGCTGTAGTACTAAAGAGCTCGCTCGATTGAAAAATGACAACGCTCGTACCGTATACCACGTTTCATTTTCTTACATTAATTCTGTCCGCTTCCGAGCTATGTTCAAAATTTAAAGACTCATCATCTCATCGAGAGGTTAGTTTAAAATCAATTACTAAATTTGACTCGAACAGACATACACGAAAGCGATTTAATAAAAACTCGTTTTAATATTGCTGTATGGACAGGGAAGTGAGCTAAGAAAACCAGGTACCTCTTCAACTGGTAATAAGACATTCTCTTACTCGTAAGAGATTAAATAGTATTTGATTTAAAAAAAATCTGCTTGGTAACTAAGAGCTTTTTTTGTACGTGGCAGAGCCATGCTGCAGCTATATTACTGGTATAGTTGTAGCACGAATGGGTCGGCTCAACCGGGGAGGGACCACGCTCTCATAGAATACCAGCGTAAAATAGCAGCTTAACACTGCTGTGTTTCGTATGGTGAGTGTAGAGAACCGGAGACCCTGTTTACTGGAAACGAGGCATTCCATCTTAGTCCTCACGGGTGACAACGCATCTGCATTTTGATTCGTAATCGATAGATGATAGATGTAGATAGATGTAGATGTCTATGGGCCACAGCAACCACTTAACAGCAGGTGGACTGTGTGCTCGTTTGTCACCCTCATCCTATAAAAAAAAACACCATTACCTCATTGGTTTAGTGGTCTCAAGTGCAACTAATCGTATGGTCCCGAGTTCGAATACCATACCATGCCAAAATCAACTATTGTGTTCGACTTGCAATAAATTATCAGTAGCAGTCAGGAGTCAGTGTATTAGCTATGTTTTGTCTTGTGAAGCACGTAAAGCCGTTGGATCTGCGCCTGATCTCTCTCCGGTCGTGACGGATTGCCGTCCAATTGGATTATGAGAGTGAGGGAATAGCGCATACACTTGGACACTATAATCCTGTCCTGCTCCTGCTCCTGCTTCAGTTGCCAGTTTTAACGGCTAGCGTCCGTTAATACTGGCAACTGGTAATCGAAATTCACTCTGGTGGACATTACGTTAACTCAGAGAATACGTACTAAAATTTAATAGTTTTTTTTTTATAGAAGAGAGTGCAAACTAGCATGAGGTGCCCTGGTGGTAAACGTTGACTGCCGCCCATGAAACTGCAATACCAGGGGCATCGCAGGTGCACTGCCGGCCTTTTAAAAAGGAGTAAGATTTTTTTCTTAAAAAAGCCAAAAGTAAAGTAAAGCCGTTGGTACTGCGCCTGATCTCTCTCCGGTCGTGTCGGTTTAGCGTCCCATCGGACTATGAGAGTGAGGGAATAGAGAGTACACCTGTGCTTGCGCATACACTAGGCCACTATAATCCTGTCCTACGGAGATGTCTAGTCTCCGTTGAGACCGGCCGCCGTGACCGGAATTCAGTCTGAAAGATATAATTATGATATAGGTGATTATACTATATGTTAAGTTTTAACTTTCTTACCACTTTGTTCTGCAGAATCAGCTGGAAGGTCTCTTGCGATATGACACCGTCGCCACATAGCACGTAGGCGACGCTCTCAATCTGTTCCACGAAGTCCAGCTGCTTGTCGTCTCTAGAAACATAGTAAATCGTTATCATTTTAATAGAATTCTATACGTGGTAGAGCATCACTGCAGTTATCTTATGGTTGTAGCACGAATGGGTTAGCTCAACCGGGGGAGGACCACCCTCACAGAATACCAGCGTAAAATAGCAGCTTAACGCTGCTGTGTTTCGTATGGTGAGTGTAGACAATCGGAGACCCATTTTACTGAAAACGAGGCATTCCATCTTAGGACTCACGGGTGACAACGTATCTGCATGTTGATTCCTAATTTAGGATAGATGTCTATGTTTATGGACCACAGCAACCACTTACTATCAGGTAGACTGTATGCGCGCTGGTCACCCTTATCCTATAAAAAAACAACAATTTATTTTTTCATCAAAATTAAATGAAACGCTCATGAGGCGTGCACTTTTGGATTTTACAAACTATATTTAAAATTGTAACTATTTTTCGTCCGAATTAAAATAAAATAAGGAATCAAAATGCAAATGCGTTGTCACCCTCGACTTGGATTGTCTAGTTACCAGTAAAAAAGATCTACGTTTCTTGTTAATTAGAATACGAAACCTCTCTTTCATCCTCTTCTTCTTATCATGCCATGAAAAAAATATTATTTTATTTTAAATGAAGCTTCATTTTAATAGACGCTAGTGATTCATTTATTTGTATTTGTTAATCAATAATATAATACGTTTATCAATAATAATATACTACGAAAGGAACTTCGTTCCAACCGAGTGTTCCACGACACTTACGCATGTTTTTTTCTAGATGAACCGATTTTGATGATTCTTTTATATTTGAAAACGGGTGCTGCTCATGTGGCCTCAAATAAATTTGATTAAGGTTTGACCAGTACTTTTGGAGTTATCCTTAATAATTTATATTGAAGTCGGTTGTATAAAATTGTTTAATCTTACCACTTGTTTACTAACTGAAAGAAAATATTTTATTTAAATTATAATTGGCTTTTACAAATTTTAAATAAAAATATTTTAACATTGATTTTGCCTAAATTAATTGAAAAATACAATAATTAACAGACACATCACCTTGATTATGCGTGGAAAATGTGGTCCAGAGACACCTGCAACCTACTTCAGATAAAAAAAGGTTACTAGGTCGCCATGTAGCGGTGGAGTGAGAGAGTCCATCATCACATTACGTCGTTTGGCGTCGTCGTGGGTTTTGAAAGAGGTAACTAAGGGATTTCCCTTAATTAGGTACATCCTTCGACATCCATGGGAAATTGCTAGAAATTCTCATGGGCATTTGCCAAAAAGACTTCATGACTCCCTATGGATGATAGAAACTTCGTTTTCTACTTTTTTCTACCGACTTCATAAAGGAGATGGTATTCAATTCGACTGTGTATTTTATGTGTATTATAACTTTTTACTGGGTGAACCGATTTCGATGATTCTTTTTTTATTTGAAAGCTGGTGCTTCTCATGTGGTTCCATATAGATTTGATCAAGGTCTGACCAATCATTTTTGAGTTATTCTTAATAATTTATATTGAAGTCGGTTGTACAAAATTTTTAATTTTAAATTATTATAGAATAAGGATGAAAAACGAGCACAATCCACTTGATGGTAAACGAATGCTGAGACCCAAAGACATCTAGAGATACTACTCGATTATGAATCAAAATGCAGTTGCGTTGTCAGCCGTGAGGACTAAGATAGAATGCCTCTTTTTCCAGTAATATGGGTCTCCGGTTCTCTACACTCACCATACGAAACACTGCAGCATTGACCTGCTGTTTCACGCTGGTATTCCGTGAGGGCGTGGTCTTACCTTAGTCGAGCCGACCCATTCGTGCCAACATTCAACCATAATATAGCTGCAACGTTGCTTCACAGCTTATAACTTACGGAAGTCTCTCCTTGAGGAACTCGATCCAATCTTCCTGTACGAGGTAGTCTTTTCTCTCCACGTCGAACAGTCGGAATATCCTCTCGAGCAGATCCTAAAAAAAAAGATCCGTCGGTTAATTTTTTACATAATTGCTAGATTAATCGGAAAGATACGAGCTTGCTCTGCAATATGACTAAACATTTTTAGTAGAGAATCAGACGGCGGCGGAAGGGTGAATTTTAATATTACCTTAACTAAACTGCAAGATATTAGCTTCCTGAGCAATATAACTAAACACTTTTTAACCCCTGATGAAAACAGGAGGGGTGTTATATGTTTGTATATGTGTATGTGTATGTGTCTGTCTGTGACATCATAGCTCTTGACCGGATACCGGATGAACCGATTTTAATTATTTTCGTATGAAAGATGTCTTAATCGAGAGTATTTGTTCCCGGTGAAAGGAAAAGGGAAGTTCTCTCGCTGGCCAAGGTGTTCTGCCCGGAGAGCGGCCAACACTGTGAGAGGTAGTTCCGAGCTATTCTATATACCTAGTCAGGTCATAAATTCTGTCAAATGTTTAATATAAAATAATTGAAACAAGTTTATTTATTATGTAACCATTTATATACCAAAATGAACTTAACAAAACATAGATTCTTATGACACTAAAGTTTATTCAAAATGACCTCCGTCATTTTGAATACAGGCCTTCAATCTGCGCGGCCAGTCGTCTATCGCAGCACGAACGAGGTCCATGTCAATATCGGCGGCTGCCTTAATCAAGGATGTCTTGAGTGACTCCAAATTGGTATGAGGCTTTGAGCACGCCTTTTCCTCCAAGTGTCCGGATGAAGTCGATTTCACGCGCCACCAGCCATTCTTGTGTGCTCTTCGCTCTATGAGCTGGCGCTGAATCTTGTTGGAATACCCAGTGCCTGTTATTGAACATGGTATGAGAAACAGGTTCCACAAGGTTCGTCAGGACTGTATTTTGATACACAACTGCATTCGTTTTTACACCTTTCTCACAAAAATGTACCTCTGTTAAGCCCCAATAAGAAACTCCCAACCATACCATGAGCGAGGACGGAAAATGATCTCGTTGGATACGCGGAATACGGTTGCTTGCTTCTTCACTACTGTGTGCGTACACCTTATCATTTTGTTTGTTGTAGCTCTCTTCTACGGTAAAAAATTTTTTCATCCGAAAAAAGAATTTCCCGATATTTTTTTCCCTCGTACCGCTTCAACAAAGCGCGGCATCTCTTCAGTCTCAGGTCCATTAGACAAGCATTCAAACGATGTCCTGTTTTTCTTCGATATGTCCGAAGCCCTAAGTCATCATTTAACACCCTTTTCACCGTGGTTCTGCTTAACCCCATCTGAAGGGCCACCAGTTTCTGCTTACGTTTGGGATTTCTTTGAATTCGCGCCTTCACAGCTTTTATCACTGCTAGAGTCCTAACAGACCGAGGGCGACCACTTCTTGACCTGTCATCTACACTAGAGTCTTCATTGTATCGTTTGATGGTAAGATAAAAGAATCTTTTGGTTATATTCAAATTTTTCAGTATGTCAAAAATTTGAATTGGCGCGTAACCGCAACGATGCAACGCAATAACTGCAACACGGTCTTCTTTAAGCGTCCACTCCATATTTAAAAATGAGTAAAAACAGTAAAATTCTAAAAAGTATACAGTTTTATTTTCATGAACAATTCGAAATTCGAATTCAATAAACTTTTTTGTGGCCAGCATTTTAAAAGAAAAGTTTTTACTGTGTGACAATACTTATGACCTGACTAGGTATACTGCTTTTACTTCGGAACTTAGTTAGCGCGATTTAGACTTCGATGTGTTTCGTTTGTGGCGCGACGACAGCGCAGCGCCGCCACCTGTTCTTAGTTGTTTCAAGAAAACCAGTTGAACCGTTTGAAGATCATCATTTCTTTTTATTTTGATGGTTGTTACAATTTTGAATTTAAGTCATAAAAAAGTGAATCAGATGGCATTGTAACGCAATGGCTAAGTGTTCGAATGAATTCGAACAGGGCCGCGGGTTCGAAGTGTTTGTAAAATACGAATGTAAAGTTAAAAGATCGAACCCGAGTTATTTAGATCTAACACGGACCATTACCATAACATTGTCATTAGAGTCTATCAAAAGGCCACTGCTGAACCTAAGACTGCCGTAGATAGGGGGTATCCCCCCATATTTACAACATTTGCCATAGTTACAACGCTTGGCAAGCAGGGTAACTATCGCAGTTTATAATTTTTACTCAGCTGTTATCTTGAAAATACTGCTGCGCATCTCCAGGTCTCTTACAAGTACTCCCACGGGATGCAATGGAGTAGTGAATATTCCTACACCTCCACTACACGGTTGAACAATTTATAGGCCATACAAATACCTGTGTAATGTATGTATGTGTAATGTTTCTACTGAAAGTAATGATTTCTTAATTTTTTTATTTAATTTCATATAAGGTTATCCTTTTTCCTCAAATTATTTGCTTTTTTAACCGCTTTGAAAATTAGGTGATTTTGAGAGTGCTTGCGCGCTCGCGTCTGTGTGTGCGTGTGAGTGCGTGCGGGCATTAGTGCGTGATTGCGTTCGGGCGTGGGGCGTGCGTCCGTGCGTGCGTGAGTGCGTGCGTGCGTCCGTGCGTGCGTGCGTGCGTGCGTGCTTGAGTGCGTGCGGGCATGCGTGCGTGCATGCGTGCGTGTGTGCTTGCTTACGTGCGTGCGTGAGTGCGTGCGAGTATGCGTGCGTGCGTGCGTGATTGCGTGCGAGCGTGCGTCCGTGCGTGTGTGCGTGCGGCATGCATGCGTGCGTGCGTGCGTGCGTGCGTGCGTGCGTGCTTGAGTGCGTGCGGGCATGCGTGCGTGCATGCGTGCGTGTGTGCTTGCTTACGTGCGTGCGTGAGTGCGTGCGAGTATGCGTGCGTGCGTGCGTGATTGCGTGCGAGCGTGCGTCCGTGCGTGTGTGCGTGCGGCATGCATGCGTGCGTGCGTGCGTGCGTGCGTGCGTGCGTGCTTGAGTGCGTGCGGGCATGCGTGCGTGCATGCGTGCGTGTGTGCTTGCTTACGTGCGTGCGTGAGTGCGTGCGAGTATGCGTGCGTGCGTGCGTGATTGCGTGCGAGCGTGCGTCCGTGCGTGTGTGCGTGCGGCATGCATGCGTGCGTGCGTGCGTGCGTGCGTGCGTGCGTGCGTGCGTGAGTGCGTGCGTGCGTGCGTGTGTGTGTGTGTGTGTGTGTGTGTAAATAAAATTTTGTCGTACGATATCTTTAGATTGAACGCACCGATCAAGATGGACGACACGGTGTTCGAAAGTGTTCATTGAAACTACGAGCTAATTACATTTTCAAGTCAATCGGTCGAGCCGTTTCAAAGATTCAAGGCGATACTACAAGTATACCTAAGCTACAGACAAAGAACGTATCATTACTATGTACGGTAAAAAAAAAACTTCTTACTCAGTACAATAGAATAGAATTATTTTTATTCAATATAGATTACAATAATACTTATTGACAGTAATTTACGCATTTACCACTGGTTCGGAAAAAATCTCTGTCCTGGAAACAACCAGCAAGGAACCCAGCGGGACATTTTAAACATTAATTTAAAATAAAATATTTTATAAAATTATGTAAGTATGAACACATTTAGAAACAACACGGTAGCCATTACCTCACCTTCCTCATTATCAACCACCTCCGATAATAATATGAAGTAGTACAATATTTTTAATTACTTAAAAGTTTCAACTTTTTTATTGCATAACTATGCTCGTAGAATTAATTATTCGTAGTAAAACTAATTTGTTAAAAATAAATAACAAATACCGCATAAAGAGAATGAAGCATTTTTTTGGGAGATTATCTTTTATATTCTAGTGTTAATATATCATATGACACCCATCCCAAAAAAATGTTAAATTAATTTAAAATTCTCAGTGAAACCACCACTAACCTGTATTGTTTGTTGTTGTAAAGAAACACATTATAAGCCTGACAGTTAGTTTTTGTTAATCTACCCTCAAAAAAGTTCTTAATCCTATACTAAGTACTACATTCAAATATTAAAGGTAAATTACTTTTAAATGAAGGTACTTTTAAATTGATTATGACTATTCTTTTAAGCTGCCTCAGACCAATAAGAAAGATGAACGCGTTAAAAACTATCCTAAAAGTGAAAATTTTATGGTCTACTTGAAATCTCAGAATCACCAAAAATAAAACAGTCTACTTTAAATGTAACACTTAACGGGGATAATGTGTGAATATTAAAAGTATATTTAGATTGCAATGCAATATGCTGTGCGTTAGTAATTTGTTATAGTTATTTGTTAGTAATTATATTTAAGATTTTTTTGTAACTACCAGGGCGGCATAATCGCATCAGCGACAAAGCCCTTTATATATGAAAAAAAAAACTATTATTAATTCGAAGGAATTAATATATAATAGTAGATACACAGATACTTTATTTTGATATTGCAGGGACCACAGATACATTGTATAGGTACGAGTGTAATGTGTTTCTATGAGTATACGTATTGAGGTTTTCGAGAGCGATTTCAACGCCTTTCTAGGCCTTCCCCGATAACTTAATAATTAGGATATTATAATATAGTAGATATTGTGAAATACCGAATACAACTTCAAGTCGTAATTTGAGACTCAAGTAGAGTTACAACGGTTAATATAACAGAATAATAGTTGGCTGAAGGCTGTGTAGCCGATGTCATATTAATTAAAAAAAAAACACAGAATAATAGTGCTTGTTAGTAATAAAATAGTGTAGTCTGCGTTGTTCTAGTGGTTGTAAGTGCGACTGCAGAACATCGCGGGTTTGAATTCCGGGTCTGTCAAGAAATTCTCAATTACAGTCTGGAGTCAGGAAGTTGGTGGTGTTTCATCTCATCGGACTATGAGAGAGAGGGAATAGAGTGAGCACATATGCTTTCTAATACCTGTTATATCCTATGAAAAGTCCATAACTTTACTGCACTGTATTCTACTGCTTCCGCCATGTAATGTCACATAGAGGGTTTATTTGCCTTATTTGCCAGGCTTGGAAAGTGAGTTGGCAACCGCAGTT